TATTCAGAGTGGACCATGTTAAATACAAGAGCCACACCAGCAAAGGAAACCTGTTTAGTTTGGCTGCTGATTCTTTTGCTGAACACAGACCAGGAGTGGGCAGGGATCTGGGATGCTCTAGTCGCCCAGAAGCACCAGATTGATCGGTTGGTGGGGAGGGAATGACACCTGCCTGTGTGCGATCCCAGGTGATGACACAGCGAGGGTTTTCCGGAGGGACGGCGGGGGCCAGTGCCTCAGAAAGAGCAGGCCTCAAAATAAGCCTCTTATCATAACAAGTCAGCTCACGCTCTTCGCCTCCTTTGTATGCCCCCAAATCAACGATGTTTCACAGCTGGGGGGTTGGGGGACCATGCATGTTGGATCGAGTGTGGTAAAAATATATATAAATAATTAAAAATTGTCATATGATGTTGGACTTTGTTTTTTTAACAGGGAATAAAATCACTGAGTCACTGTTACTGCACTATGGCATCTTTGCTATTCCTGCACTACTTCTATCTGCCTGTTTTCTGTAACTGCTTATCCTGTTTGTGGTCGGGGGTCTGGAGCCGGTCATGGAGCTTATGGGAACATCCCAGGGTGGGGCACCAACCCATAGCAGGGTGCGTGCGTACACACACACACACACACACACACACACACACACACACACACACACACACCTATGGGAAGTTTGGTAACTCCAATTAACCTCAGCATGTTGTGGACTGGGTGGGGGGGGGAACCAGAATTCCACACAAAAACACGGGGAGAACATGCAAACTCCACACGCAGAACCTTGTTGCAGACTTGAATCCAGGGGTCCCTGAGGCGTGAGGTAACAGCGCTAACCACTGCGCCACTGCGCCACCCCCTGGTGGACTACTTATCTACTTATTGTGAAATAAAATAGTTTTTTTTTAAATTAGTGTCACGACTTAATGACCCAAGGAAAACATGTGTCCTCAGGTTAAAGCACTGCTATATGGAGGTAAGGATGCACTGATTACAGTGCGTTGCCACATCCACCACACGACAAACCAGCTCAGGGATGAGAACCTGAGTGCAGCCATGTGGCGGGTGACACCTCAGCACCGAATGGACCAGTGTGACTGGAGTGCCAATCCTGCCACCAATGCCCAAATTTCCCTTGTAAGTTGGAGGATGTGCTTGTAGGGCTGGATGTAGATTAACGTCATACCCAGTATGAAGCAATTGCAGATTGCGGGCCTTGCTCAAGGGCCTGATGGAGTAGAATCACTCCAGGCTTTCACAGGATCTGACCCAGCAACCTTCCAGTTGCTGGCACAGATCCCTAGCCTCAGAGCTTCCACTCCACCTGACATATATCATGATATATTGTTAAAGCATGATGGAATTTTCTCTGTAACACCAATAAATCCAAGAAATATCATTGGCCATACAGTAAATGAAACAAAAAGCAGGCATTTAATATCTAAGTTCTGCTGCGGCAGTGACACAGCAGCTCGCCTGCAAGGTTACAGGCTTAGTTTCTGCTTCTGGTTCTGAATTCGCCATCGGTACAGAAACCTGCAGTGCTATCACATAATCGGGTGCATTAAATACAGCTGCCCAAAGCTTGTATACATAATTGAAAAGCTGACTCACGTTTCGAAAGGTAGGGTTAGTGGCAGACTTCTATACGTTATTCCTTAGGTGGCCTGGCCAGATTGCTGAGTGACAATGAGCTTAGATCCCTGTCCATGAGACGAGGCAACAGCATCCTGGAATTAATCCGAGATCCTGCTGAAATACCCCCGACACTCACTCTCCAGGTCACCTTCATTTTCACGTCTAAAGCTAATGAGAAATTCCACAACACGTACAGAAATAAGATCCTGATGCACCATCACATGATCCCATCTAATCTCTTCTCAGGCCATTACAAAGACCAGACTCTGGCCGCTCCAGCCCCCGGGTCCAAACCCCACCCCGACTCTGTGACAGGATTTATCCAAACGCTTTCAAGATTGAGTATTTCTTTAGTTGTCACATGCATACCTATACCGGGAATACCAGGACTGTAAAGCAAAATAACATCCATCCATCCATCCATCCGTCCATTTTCTGTACCCTCTTATCCTATGCCAGAGGCTATGGTCGCAAGGCAGGGAACAACCCAGTATGGGGCGCCAACTCATCAGAGGGCAAACTCACACACCATTAGCGAAATAACAGTTAAATAAAATAAAATTAATTTAAACGAATAAAAAATAAATTCAGTTAAATGGTTAAATTGGGGAGATTGGGCAAGATAGACAATAAAAGTTAAATAAAACTATATATGCAGATAAAAGGTATGTTAGACTATTTATACTTATGCAGAGGTGTTACAGTACTTATGGCATTAACTCCCAGTATTGGGCATTTCAGGTCCAGAAACCACAACTCCAGACCAGGATTTTGTTTCTACCAACCATTTGAGCATAAAGAGTCACAGTCACAGAAAACTCACCTGGTTGGTAGAAACAAATTCTTGATCTGGATTTGTAGCTTCTGGATCTGAAATGTGCAACACTAATAATTCCAATATACAATTTACCAGAAATTGTGATGTATAATGTGCAAAACCATAGAGTGCAGACATGAGAGTAGCCAAATATACAGCATATAAAGTATAAGGATTAATAGCGAGATGCATGAGGACATGCAGAGTGGTGTATGAGGGTTTCCTCCTGGTGCTTCACGTTCTCCAGGAGCCTTTCCTCCAGCTGCTTCAAGTTCTCCAGGAGCCTTTCCTCCAGCTGCTTCAA